TGAGAAAGTGGTTGGTACAATTCCAGTCTTTTTTTGAATTTACCAATGCTCTTTTTTTGGCCTAGTTTATGATCTTTTCTTGAAAATGTTCCATGTGCACTTGAGAAGAATGCATATTCTGCTGCTTTTGGGTGTAGAGTTCTGTAGTTGTCTGTTAGGTCCAACTGTTCAAATGCATTGTTCAGTGCCTCTGTCTCCTTACTTATCTTCTGTCTGGTTGATCTGTCATTTGGCGTGAGTGAAGTGTTGAAGTTTCCTAGAATGAATGCATTGCATTCTATTGCCCCTTTTAATTCTGTTAGTATTTGTTTCACCTATGTAGGTCCTCCTGTGTTGGGTGCATAGATATTTGTAATGGTTATATTTTCTTGTTGAATATCATTATGTAATCTCCTTCTTTGTCTCTTGTGATGTTCTTTGTTTTGAAGTCTATTTTGTCTGCTACAAGTACTGTAACACCTGCTTTTTTTCTCCCTATTAGTTGCATGAAAAATCTTTTTCCATCCCTTCAGTTTTAGTCTGTGTATGTCTTTGGGTTTGAGGTGAGTCTCTTATAGGCAGCATATAGATGGATCTTGTTTTTTTATCCATTCAGTGACTCTGTGTCTTTTGATTGGTTTATTCAGACCATTTACATTTAGGGTGATTATTTATAGGTATTTACTTATTGCTATTGCAGGCTTTAGATTCGTGGTTACCAAAGGTTCATGGTTAACTTCCTTACTATCTAAGAGTCTAACTTAACTCAGTATGCTATTACAAACACAATGTAAAGCTTATTTTTTTCTCCTCCTTTTTCTTCCTCCTCCATTCTTCATATGTTAGGTATCATATTCTGTACTCTTTGTCTATCCCTTGATTGACTTTGGGGGTAGTTGATTTAATTTTGCATTTACTTAGTAATTAACTGTTCTACTTTCTTTACTGTGGTTTTATTACTTCTGGTGACAGCTATTAAACCTTAGGAATACTTCCATCTATAGCAGTCCCTCAAAAATACACTGTAGAGATGGTTTGTGGGAGGTAAATTCTCTCAGCTTTTGCTTATCTGAAAATTGTTTAATCCCTCCATCAAATTTAAATGATAATCTTGCCAGATAAAGTATTCTTGGTTCAAGGCCCTTCTGCTTCATTGCATTAACTACATCATGCCATTCCCTTCTGGCCTGTAAAGTAGTAATACTATCTTGAGTTAAATAGAATTGACTTATTTAAGTAAATACGCATTCTGTTAATGTTTCTTATATTTATATCATGCTTTCCACCAGATTGTGAGCTTCTCAAGAGCAGGCACCTGATGGGCTTTCCTTTGTATGTGATCTTATTTCTCTCTCTGGCTGCTTTTAATAGTTTTTCCTTATCTTTAATCTTTGCCATTTTAATTATTATATGTCTTGATGTTGTCTTCCTTGGTTCCCTTGTGTTGGGAGATCTGTGAATCTCCATCGCCTGAGAGACTATCTCCTTCCCCAGATTGGGGAAGTTTTCAGCAATTACCTCCTCAAAGACACTTTCCATCCCTTTTTCTCTCTCTTCTTCTTCTGGTACCCCTATAATGCAATATTGTTCCCTTTGAATTGGTCACACAGTTCTCTCAATATTCTTTCATTCTTAGAGATCCTTTTTTCTCTCTGTGCCTCAGCTTCTTTGTATTCCTGTTCTCTAATTTCTATTCCATTTATTGTCTTCTCCACCATATCTAATCTTCTTTTAAAACTTCCCATTGTATGTTTCATTTCTGATACTGTGTTCCATAATGATTGTCTCTCTGACCAGAATTCATTCTTGAGTTCTTGAATATTTTTCTGTACCTCCATGAGCATGTTCATGATTTTTATTTTGAAATCTCTTTCAGGAAGATTCATGAGACCGATTTCATTTGACTCTCTGGTGTATTCATAATTTTGTTTTGAACCAGGTTCCTTTGACTTTTCATATTTGTATGTAGTGCCTTCTAGTGGCCAGTAGTTCTACTCTCTGAAGCTGCTCAGTCCCTGGAGCAATGTCAGGGGTCACAGAGGAGCAGTGTTCATGCCTGCGGGTAGGAAAGAGCTGTTTCCTGCTTCCTGGATGCTATGCCTTGCTTGTCTCCACTGCCAGAGAACCAGTGGGCTGAGCACTCAGGTATAAGCGTCTGTGCTTTGCGTTTGTAGCTGCTGTAGGTGGGGCTTCCCTCTGGCTGGCCTAACGCCATGGTAGAGTTTGCCAGTTTGCGAGCCAGGTGGGGCTGGCCAGGAGGAAGGTGTAGCAGGCTGCATATCATGGAGGGGGGCCTTGGAGCTGCATAGCTAGCCAGTGGGCTGGAGTGCCTGAAGATTGTGAAAGTTCCCAACCTGTTGGGCAGAGTGCACGCAATTTTGTCTACCTGTCCTTTCTTCTGAACAGTAAGCTCTGTGCAATCCTTGCCTCTTTAGCAACCCTCTTGCTAAGGGCTCCCTTGTTAGGAAGTCTCTCAGACTGCCTGCCTTTCTTTTGTCCCAGAACAGCCAGATATGGATCCCTGTTTTCCACAAGCAGCTGGAATCTCAGTCTTTCCAGGTATTCTGCCTGTTTTGGCTTTCCATCCCCCTTAATCATGAGAGCACCATGAAGTGTAGGTTTGTACTCCCAAAACAGATCTCTAGAGCTAGGTTTTCAGTAGTCCCAGGCCTCCACTCCCTCCCTGCTCCATTTCTCTTCCTCCTGCTGGTGACCTGGGGTGGGGGAAGGGCTTGGGTCCCACTGGGCCACGACTTTGGTAAGTTACCCTGTTCCATGAGGTTTATTCTTTTCTCCAGGTGTATGCAGTCGGCACAGCCCCCTTTCCTGTTGCTCCTTCAGGATTGTTGTATTAATTATATTTTCATATTATATGTGGTTTTTGGAGGAAGCCTCTGTCTCACCTCTCACGCTGCCATCTTTAACCTCTCCTTCTTTATTCTCACTGCCAGTTTGACAACTCTGAAAGAGTTTCTTTTTCTTTTTCAGAATCCCATGAACTATTTAATTCCATTCACACTGAGCTGCCCATGCCTGCTGGGCCTATCTGTGCACACACCTGGCTCCCCAAAATGCTACTTTAATACATAGTACAGTAGTTCTTAGTGGCCTTAACTTAGTTGGAAAAAGAAAATCCCTATCTAGGTTGGTAGGTTAAAGTGGAAATATGTGTATTAACCACTCATGAAGTACAGATTTTATTTATTCACTTGCCCTGTTCAGCATTAAGAACTCATTCTATCGCTATTAGAGAGTTATTGCTTCTGATTATTTCTATTTTTAATACCCAGATTGAATTTGGAATAAAGAAGTCTGTTTAAAGATTGAATGGAAATAACTTTAGACCATAAATAATGATAAAATTCTTTATCTTTAACTATTTTTTTCATTGTTAATAAAGTTAGGGGTTTCCATGGCATACAAATACATCCTGAGCAAAATTTTTATGAAATCACTTTTCTATGACCTTGAGGCTAGAATGTATTTTCCCATCTTTTACTTCTTCTTCTCCCCTGTCCACTTACTATTTTTGATGAATGTTTGGTAATGCTGACACCTGTATGTGGATGATGTAGGTTAATTTTTTTTTTTCTTTCTCTTAGCTTTAAAGACATGGGTAGTGGTGATCTTCACAATTCTCTCATAATTTCACATGGGTGTTTTATATATGAAGAACAAACACTATTTAAAACTTTTTAAATTGAGATATAATTGATATATAACATTATATTAGTTTCAGGTATATAACCTAATAATTCAATATTTGTATACATTGTGAAATGATCACTAAGTAAGTCTGTTTACCATCCATCACCATCCATAGTTAACATTTTTTTCCTTTCTTTTCTTGTGATGAAGACGTTTACGATTTACTGTCTTGTCAACTTCCAAGTAGGCAATATGGTGTCATTAACTATAGCTACCATGCTGTAATTACATCTCCATGACTTATTTATTTTATAAATGGAACTTGGTACCTTTTGACACCCTTTGCTCATTCATAGATTAATATTGTAAAAATACTTTTTTGAACCTCTACTCACTCAAGTCCTTGTCTTAGAGCTGTATTGTCCGATATGGTGGCCAATAGCTATGTTGAACTATTTAAATTTATCTTCTTAATATCTAATTAAAATAAAATTAAAACTTAAGTTCCTCAGTTATAGTGACCTTATTTTAAATGCTCAGAAGCCACATGAGGCTACCCTGTTGGACAGTACAGATTATAAATATTTCCACCAAAGTGGAAAGTTCTGCTTGACAGCATTGTCTTGGAGTCTTTGCCCTCTGCTCTGAGTGTAAGGTTTTCTGCAGCTCTTCCTGCCATTCTTGTACTCTTTCAAATTATAATTCATGCTATCACCCATCAAGTAACCAAGAAAGCTGGCCACATCATAAGCTTCCCCTTTATCAGAGTGTGTGTCACAGTAATAACATCTTATCATGGTTAATAAGCAGATACAAAGTATTGAATAAGAACCACTTTTGATTGTATTAAAGCTGAAAGCTTTTATATTGTATTCATTCTTCTAGAGGGAACATCTAGTATCATATATCATTCTTCTGTAGAGAAATTATTGCTATAATGTCATGTTTCAGGTGAATGAAAAAATAATTTATCCCCTGAAATCTAGATAAAAATATTTTGTTAGAGTTTCTACAGTTAAACTGTTGTTTTTCCAATTAGTCCAGGTGTTTGCTGAAGTTGCTTAAAATGGAAAATTACACTATAATTTGTAAAGTTTAATATAAACTTCTAGTCATTAAGATCCCTGTAGCTAATAATACTGTCTTGAGGGAAATAGAATTGGCTTATTTAAGTAGGTACACATTGACTGTTAATGTTTCTTATATTCATATCATGCTTTCCAAACAGATTGTGAGCTTCTGGAGAACAGGAACCACCATGTCTTTATGATTTTTCTTATTTTCTATAGCACTTAGTCCAGTGACTTTTTCTTAGCAAGTTCTTGCTACAGTTTTGTTATGTGATTATTGTTTTTCTCATGGTCATTCTGCAGGACAGAACTTACAAAAAGTGTGGTGCTCCCTGAATTAATAGAACTCTCTCGGGATGAAGGCAGCAGTGTGCGGGTTGCAGCTTTTGAAACTTTGGTTAATCTGCTTGACATATTTGATACAGGTAAATCTTCATGTGGACACATCTTTGCTTCTGAAAACAGCATTTTCCTATATGTTTCATATCACCAATAAGGAGTGAAAGTACATGCAGGACAGAATTTCTTACATTTTGTGATGAATGTTAAACCTCCCTTCCTCTGTCTCTTTTTAAGGTCTTTTCTCTCTTGTTGCCTTCTCTGCCACTACTTTTATCCCCATAGTAACGAGGGTTGTTACAGATCCTATTCCTCTTTCTCTCTCTTTTCTCTTATCAACATTTAACTGACGTATGTGGGGCTAAGAATTTGGCTTGTTAGTTAGCCTTAAACTTGTTCAACTAATTTACCCTAAGCAAGATCTTGACTAAAACAATATCTAATTGGTTTTCTCTCCTTATATTTTAATGCTAGAAATCTCATAGCCATGGGAGGGGCTGTTTCAGAGGGAATGGGCAATGAAATATTTCTTTATGTTGTACAAATCAACCACAAAGACAGTTCTTCTACTGAGTGTATGACTGGACTTGTGACTAATGCTGGACATCAGTTTATCAGTCACCATCAGTTACCATTAGCCATTGAACTAAGAGAGACTCTTAAAGATTTTTGCAATGTGGACAATAATTACATATGAGAGTTACAGAATAGTGATTTAGATTGTATGATGAGCCATAGGAGTAAAAATTGCAATGAGTGAATGAATCTCCTTGTCCTAATAATGGGGTACCCCCAGGCCTCCAAACTGTGGCATCACCTCTGATCATTCCCCATCACTGCTGTACTCGGTTAACACAGACCTGGGCCTAACCAGTGTTTGTGGCTTTATTTCCCAGCATTCTTTGCAACTCCTGGTATCTTATGCTCTAGGTTCACTCTTGGCATACCAAATTCTTTTACACTTCTAGCCTCTCCACATACTCTTTTCTTTCCCTTCCCTCTATTTTTCTCCAAGTCAACTTCTTCTCCTTCTCCAGTGCCCAGCTGAAATACAGTTTCCTCTCTGATGTCTTTCCAAATCCCTTATACCAGGGGTTGGCAATCTGTGGGCCCAACCAGGCCATATTCTGCTTATGTTTGTTTAAATAAAGTTTATTGGAACATAACCATACCCATTTGTTCATGTATTCTCTGTAGCAGCTTTTGTGCCACTGTGACAGAGTTGAGTAGTTGCAGCAGGTAAACTGCAAAGCCTTGAACATTTACAAGAAAAGTTTGCAGACTCCTGCCTTACACCATCTATAAAAATACTGATCACATTGTCTTACTTTTTTTTTTTTTGATTGTCTTCTTGGTCTGGGTTCCTCTAGTTCAGAGACCACTTATTCAACTTTCTACTTCTACTACTTAATATATTGCTTATTCTGTAAGAAATTCCATAAATGTTTGTTGAATGAATGTCATTTAGTTAAAACTGTGGATGTGGCACTGAAATGTGATGGTGACAACAGTAATGATAATGCTGAAAGGCCTGTTACAGCATTTTACTTGGCATTGTCAGACCCTTAATAAAGTAGTGTTTAATTTCTGAAAGTTTAAGAGAACAATGAGAAATTCAGTATTTAGAATCAAGATTTAAATATTGCTAACATATCAAAACTTATGACTTCAGCAGAGAAGTCTAGGAAGTAGAAGTGTAGAAATTCAATATACAGAACATATTATAAGCTAAGTTAAATTCAATCAAAAAGGTGCAGCCTGGTATGAGATGCAGGCAAAAGAGAATATGGTTTCCTGTGCCTGCTTCTCTCCCATTTACATTAGTGGTGTTAAGGTTCTTTCATTTGAGACTCAAAACCTCCATCACCTAAGCTTTTACCTTGTGATCGCTCTGATATTCTCTTCCCTATGGCCTGCAGTGTAAAGTCCAAGCCCCTCTGCCTGGCATTAAAAGGTTTTGACAATTTCTACTCTCTTTTTCACTACACACTTCCATCATTGTTGTTTTAAGATATTTCTTTTACTATATGGCTAACATAGTCATTTTTCTGTCTGGAATTTGTGTGTGTTTTCTACATGTATAGTGTGGGCAACTGGCACTAAAGTATGTTTTGTTTTTTTTCCAGATGACAGAAGTCAAACTATACTTCCCTTAGTGAAATCGTTTTGTGAAAAATCTTTCAAAGCAGATGAATCAATTCTTATTTCCTTATCTTTCCATTTGGGAAAACTATGTCATGGACTATATGGTATGATATATCCTAAGAATCTCAAGATTGTAGATAACTTTTCCCCTTTTCTTCTACCATAACCACTCAACTTCAACTTTTAAGTTGTACGACCTATCCTTCAAATGATAAAATCTTAAGAGACCTTAGAATTGTGATAGCATTTAGATATTTTTTCACAGATGGAACATATTTGAAAGACCAATGGCAGAATGAAATAGGCAGAGCCCTTTAAAGTTCTGAATATTTTATATTTTTGTATTTGTTGGTATGTGGTAGGATCTCAGGTATATTAACTAGTGGTGCTTAGTAAGTATACCCTTATTAACTGTTTGTTGAATAATACATCATGAATAGTTCAGCTTAGAATGTAGAGTAACACCCATAACTCTTGGAATTTTGAACATATTACTGTTTTTAGCTTACCTTAATAATGTAAGCATTAATTATAGCCAGCATAGTAAAGCTTTTTTATGTGGATTGTAGACTTTTAATAGGTTGTTAAAAAAATGTATTGCAATCTTTGATGAGTTCTTAGCTCCCTAAGATAGTTTATGAATGTGGAACCAGTTCACTGGTCAAAAATATTTTAGGTTTCCTTTGTCATCTTTCAGATTCAGTTTTTAAGCTCCTTCTCTGCAAACACATATGCATCTCTTTTCTGCAAGCAGTTTTAGAATATTTATAGTAACTAAATAGAAATAATGACTACATTATTCTTGTAGTGACTTGTTAAGGGTCTACAGTGTGATACATGCTGTATAAATTAATGAGGCATAATTCCAGCCATAATTTATACTACCGAAATTAAAATTAAAATATTAAAATTAATATAAGGTGCAACAGCAAACCCATTAGATTTCTTCATAATAATCTTTCCTCATTGTTGCTTTACTTAGGATTTTTAACCATTTATTTAGTATTTGGTTCCAATTATGTTTTTATTATACTTTGCCTTTCTGTTTTTGTTTTCAATTAAAATGTTGAGCAATTTGTTTTAGGAATTTTTACTCCAGATCAACACTTGAGATTTTTGGAGTTTTATAAGAAACTTTGTACATTGGGTTTGCAACAAGAAAATGGACACAATGAAAACCAGATTCCACCCCAAATCCTAGAGCAGGAGAAGAAATATATTTCAGTACGGAAGAACTGCGCTTACAACTTTCCGGTAATAAGTGATGTATATGTATTGACTAAACATTTTGATTATGACTAACATATATGAATAGATAGCATTAAACAACATTGCCATATTTGTCACTGGCTGCTTAGCACTATGTCTGGTATATATAGTAGGTACTGAGTAATATTGGTATAATTTGTATTTGTCTCTCTGTATAAATTAGAATTACATGCATGCATTTTAGCTTCCAAATATGATTTCTAACTGAATTATGAATTATGATTCAGAGGACATGATTTCAGTTTAAATGAAATGGTTTTAATATTAGGTATTGATGCCTGTTTTTCTCTCCTTCCCACTTGCCTTCTCCCTTCCATCTCCACCAGGCCATGATTGTTTTTGTTGATCCTAAAAACTTCCACATGGAGCTCTATTCTACATTCTTCTGCTTTTGTCATGACCCTGAAGTACCAGTCAGATACACTATTGCTATTTGCTTTTATGAAGTAAGTCTGAAGAAGTGATAACACTTTACATTTGTTATTGTTAATTCTACCTGTGTGTATGAATTATGTTTTGATGTTTTGTACACTTCTGTTTATATATATTTTATAAGGTATAGGCTCCATATCCTTTCATATTCTAGTATTAAATCTTATTTTAAAATTCCCATAATTCTCTTTTTGTATGTTTACAGAATTCATTCGCAGAAACACCTTATATTTATGTGTCATTTCTTATTAATCCATTCATTCATTATCTCTATATTCAGTACTTACTTTAAGCCAGACATTGTGGATGTGGGTGTGGGTATTGCAGATTTGGAAGTAAAATTGGTTTTTATGTCCTTGCAGATTTGGAAGTAAAATTCGTTTTTATATCCTTTACAATATTTATATTTAACTTTGCACTTGCATGTAAGTACTTGCGAACAGATGGAAAATTGACAGATTATTTAAATTTATCATTTCTACTGCAAATGGATTATGTTTCATGAGCATGGCTATTAGATTCATCTATTATAACAGCTCTCCATAATGTAAGAGCAAAAATGAATTTGAGCTTTTATAATAAATGTAATTAACTTTTTAACCCTTGAGGTTGAAATTTGGGCTATGTGTCTTAGATGATCACAGTAATAATCTGTATGCAGGAAATGTATAAACTGTAACTTGTCAACTTCAGAACATGAACATCTCTTTCTAAGTGGCATAATAAAATATTTCCTTTTTTATAAGAAGTATAATAAATATTCTTACTTTCAACAAGAATATTTTATCCCCTTTCTTGCACTGTGTTCCTACCTTAAAGCAATGTTAGATTAGTTGAAAGTGTGTAGACTATCCATGGCATCATTATGAATGTTACTTAAGACTCTCTTGGTTGTTGGGTGATAGTCTTTGCTTATTTTGAATAAAATTTTTTTCTGGTATGAATGAAATGTTCATTGTGAAAAATCTAGGAAATATTCCTCTTAAATAGTGTATTTAATTTTAAAAAGTCCATTGTTGCCCAATTAAGTCATCTTTGTAAATATAGCTGTAGAAATATGCTTTTGGAGGAGGGGAGTGGACAGAGGGCACTGGCTGGCTGAGTGAGATACTCGTCTCCAGTGTGCAGTAAGCGGGCCTTTAGGCTTGGTTACCATGCATGCTTCTGTTTGTCTCGATGAATTCTCCCCTGAGATGGTTGCACAAAATTTGAGTCTGAGCATGTAAGATTATGTAATGTTTCAGTCTCTATGTTTATTTTTATCTCAGCCCTTGAATATTTCACTTGTATTCATGTTTTATATCAGATATTTGGCACCATATAAATAAACATATTGAAATACATATGCAATAATATTTAACTGGAAGGAAGGAGTGTTTGGACATTGTTGATCTAGCTATTTGCTGGGTGGCTAGTTTCCATATTTTCACAGTCTTACCATGTAAGTAGGCTAATAATACTCCATAAAATGAATTGTTAGTCTAGGCTTGTTCTTTTAAATAATGAAAATCCACTGATGGACTTAAATTTTCCTAACAAAATTGTTTTTGCTAGATTCTGATAATTAATATGTTCTAACTTTATTCTTGTTTTTCAGAAAAATATAATTTGGAAATATTAATAAGTCAAATGTAACCCTATAGAGCAAAGGTCTTAAAAAAACTTTCTTTGTCCAGGAAGCTTTTTTTTCCCTGCAAATAAAACCTTACTCAGAAGCCCAATATGTAAAAAATACAAAGTGAAGTAGAAACTGGCGAATTTACTATTGTGGGCTCTGAGTTTGTTTGGAGGGGAAAAAAAAAAAACTATTCACAAGGGAATTGGATTAGTCTAGACTCACCCAAGTCCTCTGATGCTGATTAAAGTCTTTGATGGGAGAAGTCTTTGGTGTTTTACTTGCTTAGGAGTTATCTCTCTCTATCACTATGGCCCTTCTGTAGAACTTGCCCTTTTTGGGAAGCTGTGAGCCAGGATAGATGCTCATAGGCCTGAGATATTCTATAAGACCCTGTTGGCTTCTCTAAGACCTCAAAGTATGAACTAGAGTCATCCATGGGCTTATTATTACTTGTGATAGGAAAATTGTGACTCTGACAAATCCATTCTTCTGCATTTCCCACCTGCATCTGTTCGCTTCCCTTGCCCACGCCTATACACTCCAAGTTATGAAGCAGACTCAAAAGTGGTTATGTATGCAATTTATTTTTCTAGAAATCTAATTTTATATTTATGTTGTAAGCTAGTCTTATTTTAGAAGAAATGTCGCACAGGGATGTATTTTTTAATAGCATTATTATAACCTTTATATGTCTAGTAATTTCAAATCTGAGAGACTTTATTGCTACATTTTAGGTGTCTAAGCTTCTGAATTCTGGAGTATATTTAATACATAAAGAACTAATAACATTATTACAAGATGAATCACTAGAGGTAATATCATCTTACTCTTTGGTTTTTACTTGTTTTATGTTAAGTCTGAATATATCAATGCTTTTTTTCCCCTACATCTTGGGGATTGTATTGATTCTTTCAGCTTATTAGCCTCAAAAGCTTCAAGTCAGTGTACTACTGTATCATAGACATTTAAAAATATCAGGTCTCAAAAATACACTTAATATATGTAAATATATGAATATTTGTCTATTAAAGAAAATATAGGAAATGTCAAAAAGTAGACTAAAGAGTACCTTTAGATCCAATCATTTACTATTTTATATTTTTTCATTAAAAAGTTTTTATATAAAGGTTTTTATTTTACACATTTGTAATCATATATGTCACATTTTATATCTTTTTTCTCTCACTGTTGTTTGGGGGTATACCTATGTAGACTTACAAATACTTTATTTTGATGCTGTATTTAGTATTCCCTGTTCATCTAAATGGCTCCTAGCTTGCTAAAGCTCAGCTCATCAACTTTTAGACATCACTGATGATGTTATCTGACTTAAGTTGCTTTTCAAAAGTTGGGAGGCAGTTTCTCACCATATTGGTTATATAGAAATAGCTGTCCCAGATCTAGACTATTTGAACAACATCAGGAGGCAAATATATTAATTTCTTTTCCAGTGTCACTTGATCCAGGTAGTTGATCATGTTTCTAAGCTTGCCAGCAAGATGATGGCAGAATAAGAAAATAGAAATCGCAACAGTGTTGTTTGGTAAATAGCACTAGTTCTCCATAGAAGTTGACATGTGAAGTTAACTGATCTAAAATTAGAAAAAATAGTAATCCTCATAAGAGTAATCAAATATCTCTGTTAAAAGGTACTAGATGCTCTTATAGATCATCTTCCAGAAATCCTGGAACTTATGTCTACTGGTGGAGAAAGCAGTGTTCAAGAAAATAAGGTAAATTCCATGTATCAAAAAAGTGTCTTAATAAATATCACCTTACCCTACAGAATTGTGAAGAATCAATGAAACAATGTATGGAGAACATTTAACATAGTGCTTATCTCATAGTAGATGCTTAGTAATGTCTGTTGGAGTTTCAACAACTTGAATTTCCTCTACAATCCTTGTATTACCATGATTCTTACTTATTGTCCTTGGTGTTTACGTTCATATTTTCAGTTTTATTTGGTGTCAATTATTATTCCATGAATAACAACTGGTAAGGACAAAACAGTAGGAATTTTGCTCATTAAAGAAGGTAAGTTTGCTGACAGAGAAATGTAGTAAGTTTAGCTTTAGTTAGAAGAATCATGAGTCCCAGTCTCTATTTCAAAATTTTGTTTCCAGTAACCATAAATTTTACTTATGGATTTTTTGAAAAAGTATTTGATTTCACCAGATAATTGTTTCCTTCTGGCTGCTGCGATGCTTCCTAAGTTCTGAAATGAGCAAGAGTTCTCGTCTGCACAGTGTATAGTAGGGCTGAATAATTGACTGAATGCTGCAGTTGGTTTATTGTCACCAGTTCTTTTGATAATGTTTTCTGTTTCAGTTAGCATCTCTGCCAGACTTGATTCCAGCTCTCACAGCTGCTGAACAGCGAGCTGCAGCCTCTTTAAAATGGAGAACTCATGAGAAGCTGCTACAGAAATATGCCTGTCTGCCACATATCATATCAAGTGATCAGATTTATTATCGTTTCTTACAGAGAATGTTCACAATCGTGTTGACAAATGTGAGCTCAATACCTTTTATCTTATCCTTTTGAATGCATGCCTGATTTTGGAATTAACAAATCCTTCACATTCACAAAAGAGTATGACAAACTCCGTTCATTCCATTTTGCTAGAAGTACATATTTTTCTCAGGTTCCTAAGAGGGAGCACAAGTTTCCCTTTGCATCTCCGCTAATTCTTTTGGTCATCTTCTATGTAGCTGAATTAAGGAACGAACAGGTGGGACCTTCACTTGTTTTTGTATTGCGAGGGACAGTGTAAACAGACTTGCTTCAAACTTAACATAGTTCTCAAGAGGACGGTTGGCAGAAGCCAGTGATCTTGATGGTAAAGTGCCTTCTGCCCTGGCATGCATCTTTGGTGTCATGGCCTTGGTGCCTCCCTCAGCTGTGCTGCTTGCCAAGCCCTCCTGTGTTCCTCAGTATTAGCAGGGTGACTTTTATAGTATGTAAAGAGTGGTTGTGTAGCAGATGAAGTTTATGCCAAAAACATGCATGCCTTACTATAGACAACCTTAAAATTAAAGATTAAAAAGAGAATAAAATGGACTTTATTGGTGTCATTTATAATTTAAGCAAAAAAAGAAAAAAGGCATACATTTCATGAGCTAATACTTCTATAAGTTTATTTCATGTATCAAGGTAAAACCCAGAGGATAAAGTTATGTTATAGATGTAACAATCCTCAGCAGGGATTTTTACACCAGTAACATCCTTACCAGAGGACAATACATGAGTGTAATGTATACAAAATTTCATATAAAACTGAGCAGAGCTTATTAATTATTTTATTCAGTAATTACTTGAGTGCATGCTGTGTGTCAGGCACTGTTCTGAGAGTTGGGCATATAGGAATGAACAAGACAGAATCTTGGTCTAATGGAGCTTGCATTCTGAAGTGGAGGTGGTGTGCTTGGTGATAAATAATAAAATAAGTAAATATATTAACAGGTGATGGTAAGTGCTGGGAACTGTTTGTCTCAACCTAATTGTTAGCAGGCATGTTGTTTAGGGAGCTGTTTTTAGGAGCCATATTTTTAGCTTCTCTTATCAGGAAAGAGAAATGACTTAACAACATACAGTGTGAACAAAATACTTTTAAGCCTAAGAGATTTGTTCTACTGTTTTCTTTTACAAGGAGATAATTCTAAACTTGAAAGGAGATATATGATAATTGTAGCACATTTTCCATGATTAAAGAGGACATATATATTCTGTCTCAATATTCTCTGGAAAAGAAAGAGTTTTATGCTTAGTTCCATACCTAATGGTCATAATATTCACTCATTCAACAAAATTTTTGAAACATTTACTATGTGCTAAGGACTCTCCTGGGTAATAGGAACACAGTAGTGAACATAAGAGATAAAGGACCTATTCTCATGGAACCTTACAGTCTCCTATAAACAGGTGACAAATAGACACAGACATATGTAGTATGTCGGGAATGGAAAGTACGATGAAGAACTCTAACACAGAGTAGAGGAGAAAAAAGTGACGGAGGGTCCTGGAATGCTATTGTGGATGTCTTGGGCAGGACAAAGTCCTCTCTGATGAAGTAGAGGCATGCAGAGGTGTGAACACAGTAAGCGGGTGACTGTGCAGATGTCTAAAGGACAGGTGGTCCAGGCTAAAGCAGTAGAGAGTACAAAGGTGTGATACAGGGTGTGCTTGGTTGTGTGTGGAGCAGCGAGGAAGCCAGAGAGAGGGAGTAGGAAAGCTGTGGGTAGAGAGAGAGGAGGCTCCGGAGGTGCCAGGCCCATGGCACAGGCATTTAAAGGCCAGGAGATGGCATCTGGGTTGTATTCTCTAAAACAAGGGAGATCTCTGGAAGGTTTTGAGTGGAGGAATGATGTAAATTTCTTTTCTCCACTTGTTATGAAAAAAATTTAAAGATACATGAAGGCAGAGAAAATACTATGATGAACCCTCATATACCTATCCCCTGGATTTGACAGTTAATATTTTGCCATATTTTGCCTTTTCTATTTCATGGTGCTGAAGAATTTTAAATAACAGTTATCATTATATTTTATCCTTAAATATTTCAGTATTCATCTCTAAAAAAGGACATTCTCCTATACCATCACAATACAATCATTACACTTAACAAAATAAAGTTATTTAATATCATTTATTATCTGTCCAGTACATACTAAAATTTACCAATGATCCCCCAAATTATTTTATAGTTGATTTATTCCATTTAAGATCCAATTAAGATCTGTACATTGCCTTTGGTTGTTGGAGCTCTTCATTCACTTTTAATCTAGAACAGATTCCCTCTTTTCCCTTTTCCCACTTTTTCATGACATTTGAATTGTGGAAGAGACTTGTTGTCCTGTAGGATATTCCAACTCTGTGTTTGTTAGAATGCTTCTTCATGGCGCTGACTTGTTTGCTCTCCATATTATAAACTGGAAGTTAGACCTAAAAGATTGCTGAGTTTTAGGTTAAACATTTTAGGCAAGAATATCTCATAAATGCTGCTGTGTATTTTATATTCCATCATATCTGGACAGTCGTTCCTCTGTAAGAGAGCTAAGAACGGCTGTACAGGTGGTGGCTGTTCACCTGAAAATTGTTTTCTCCCCTGTGATCTGCACTGCAGTCTGAAGCTGACATTTCAGCACTTGGAACACCAGTTTCCAATCAGCCTTTTACACATTAGTTTTAGCATCCATTGATGCACCTTCCTGTATCAGTTATTTCATTAGAACTTGCAGAAGAGTGGTTTTTAAAAATTCTGTCATTTCTTCCACATTTCTGACGGCATTCTTCTGTGAAGAACTGCTTTTGTTCATCCACTTGGGTAATCTGATTACCCTGAAATACATTTCTTCATGTAAAGGCGGGATAAATTCTTAATCCTTTCTCTCTAATTATTAATTTTCAGAGCTAGGAGTTGGTGCAGTAGTCATTTCCACTGGTGACAAATTAATTTTGTTTATGGTGTTGTCTCTTTATTTTATAGCATTTTAAAATATTAAATAATGTTTTAATCAATTGTTCATTATTTGTGTGCTTAAATTGTCACAGCTTCTTCAAGCTGGCTTTGTATGTTTTTGCTATGATTACATTTATTTTTGATTTCTAGCTCAAAGGATAGCTTACCTTATTTTATGATGCTCAAGGTATACATATTTTCATATTACTAGCATTTATGCATTCGAAAAATTCTATTAGTATACACAAACTGAAAGAAAAGAGTAGCATCTTTTTATGTAGCTTGATTATCTAAACTTCATTTCTTAATTCCAGTGATGTTTCTGTTTACATGCATTTCTTACATTTTATGTTCTAATTCATAGTGACTATTCTCTTTTATATGCAACAGATTAAAAACACCACATGGAATAGTACGCAATAGAATGAAAATAGCTTGTATGAAATATGAGAGGAGCTAGCAGGCAGTATTCTCTCAGCAAAGTATTGTTCTTTTTGAACTTCAAGGATCCATCCCCACTATAACAGTCTTTAAGAATTAAATCTTGTAATATTTATATGTAAGTCAAGATGGTGAACATGAATTTATACTGGATACATTACATCTGGTTGAGATATTTTTCTCTAATCCATAGTTTGAATCCAAACTTAATTTGGACCAAATTCAGGTTCTGTCCAGGGGTGTGACAGAGCTCAAAGGCATTTAGAACACTGGTAACAGTCACTGACATGGTGTCCCTGGGCTTCTGTGCTTTACCTGTTGTGGACCTGGGATGTCGGTGAACGATGTTGAAGTTGAAGAGGCGGAAGTAAGGCAGAAGGATGGAAAAGTATACCTGATCATAGGATCTCTAAATTTATATTTTGGAAGTGGCACATTTTTGATGTACCTAATGCGGCATTTGTTCTTGAAAATGTTTGTTGAATAAAGGAGTGACAGGATCCAGGGAATGGCTAAGGGAATGGGTGGCTGAGATGTATTTGGAGAGACTGTCACTTGAGATGAAGTGACACAGGAATAAGAGTCAAATATAAAGCAAATCTGGATGATTTGGAAGTGACTCTGCCAGATTAAGTTGACTTTGCGATGTGATATATTTGTTGATTGCTTGAGTGATATTAACATTAAATTAGGAAAACTTCCACATTGATTTGAGAGGCAGACAATACTTTTTATACTTTTAGTCAGTAACTTAAAATTGATTTATGGGCCAAATTATTCAGAATGTATACTAGTAGACTGGTTTATTATCTTTTCTTACTTATTTTCTTTAAGAATGTCTTACCTGTCCAAAAGGCAGCTTCAAGAACTCTCTGCATTTTTCTACGTTATAATCGTAAACAGGAGCAGAGACATGAGGTCATTCAAAAATTAATTGAACGTAAGTAATCATTGTATCTCATTTTAAAAAACAGAAAGTAAACTGGTTGGCCTAGTTAGATCTGACTTTATGTATCATTATACCATGAATAATCAGGCTGATTTAAATATCTAGAATGTGTTTGTATTTGAGTTTTGTAGGTTAATATTTTTGGTTTGTTTTAGAAGTCTTTATGTTAGGATCAGATCTGTGATGAAGGAAAATGATAATTACTCTGGGCCTTCTTTTGTGAATTTCTACATTGGAGAAACAATATATGTATACTTAGGTTGAAAGCTCAGTTTCTACCCTGATGAAATAACATTTGGAACTAAAATATAAGTAGACTATTCATGAATCTAATAACTTAATTTTAATTTCTATTTTAAATATTAACAGAACGAGTTTTTTTCCTCCCCTTCAGTAGAGTTGATAGCATACATGAATATAAATCTGATAAGCCTAGATGGTTTATAATATCTTTAAAAAATATCAGCTAACAAGTGCAAATTTATTTTAGTTTGCTAAGGGGTACAGTCAAGACAAAAACCTTTAGTGAAAGTATTAATTCTAGAAATAGTTGCCCACACATACACATGTTAAGTGAGCTTTTAATAATTGTATAATTGGTTTGACCATTGTCTTAATCCTTTTATTAGACTCTTTTTAACCCACATAGGCAGGTAATAGGATTTTCTGGGTAACTGACTGGAATTTATCATTTTATGTATGGTAGGCACTTTCAAAAAATTAGAGTCCATGAAATTCCATTTAAGAAAAATTATGCTCACTGTACTTAAAAAAAAAGTTTAGGTACGTACAATAAAATGCTTTAATCTTTCTTTTTTTTTACTCTATTTTAATTCAATTTTCATTTTTCAGTGGTAGGACCTCACATGTAGCATAAATTCAAATTTGAAAAGAGATTCTATCTGGATTTAAATAGTGAGAATTTTGTTTTTGAAGATTAAAGGAGAAATTATCCCTGAAATATTGCCTGAATTATTGTCAAAAATACTGTTTACATATGACTTTATCCACTTCAGAGCATTTTTAAGGAAATGAGAGGAAGAACAGTTGATTGATCAACAGTTAACTGTCAATAATTAATTGACAGTTAATTGATTGGTTAAAGATTTTGAAGTTATAAATACCTACATTTGAATTCTAGCTCTGTGCTTAGCTGCTCTAACTCCACCCTCTGTGAATCACAGTATCCTTATCATTCAGGAGGGTAAGTATATTGTTTTCCAGGACCAAATGAGATAATATGTGTAGGGTACTTAGCACATAGGGTTAAGGACGATCAGAAAACAGTAGCTACAGTCACTCAATATTTAATAAACTCTGTGGAATTGAATATAATATTTAATACATTTCTTTCTGGTTTTTGAGGTATCATTATTTGTGGGGTGTCTACAAATTTGGGGTATATAATAGGATTTTTTCTCTTATCTCTTGTATTTGCTAAACAAATTGTGGGTATTAACAAATTTGTCATGCATTTTGTGTGTCAGATTTTGTCACATGTAATTTCATGTAGGGAAAATTAAACTTATGATAATTTTGATATTGTTGTTTCTAGAACTGGGCCAAGGAAAAAGTTACTGGAATAGACTTCGATTTTTGGATACTTGTGAATTTATTATAGAGATCTTTTCCAAATCATTTTTCTGTAAATATTTCTTTCTACCTGCAATTGAACTGACACATGATCCAGTGGCCAATGTGAGGTATGGTACCAGCCCAAGAAAATATTTGAATAAATTTGTATTTTTTATGTATCTACTGTAATGAACATATTCAAAATCTTTCTCATAGTAAATTTTAAAAAATTAAGTCAAGAATTTATACTTGCTTTGAAATTTTCAGTGATCTTAATGAATGAGCCTCACCAGGACTTGGAAGGATGATCTTTTAACACTGTTTCAGGTCTTGCATTGATTGGGTTGAGGGAACAGTAGTCAAAGCCAAACTGGCAGCCTTTTCTGGCCACTTGGATATACACACTGAGAAGAGAAGGCTGAGTGAATATTCTTAATTATCTTAATTAAGAGTGAATATTCTTAATTATCTGTCTTCTAAGACTAAAGAAAAAAAAATAGTTCAAAGTTGGAGAAGATCTGTCCAATTTTAGGGATCCATTTACTCAGAGAAATAGGGCTGTTTTGAAGTCTTTTTCTTGTTTTTTCTTATGTTCAGCTGCCTCGCATTTTTGATATCTGGTAAATGTTAATTGGACTTGATTAGTTGATTGTTAATTTAGATGGAACAGGCCTGAAAATGGCTTGGAAATAGAAAAACAGAAGAAATATGTTTTGCTTCTTTTTCCTCCCAAAGTAAGCATACTTTTTTTTTTAATTGTAAAAATACATAACATAAAATTTACCATTTTAACCATTTTTTAAGTGTACAAATCAGTGGAATCAAGTACTCACATAACTATTTCTTAAGAGTTGTTTGGACATTGCATAATGGGTCAAAAATAATTCTAAGGCCTTAGCTATTTGATTTCTGTGTTACATGCTCTGTGTTTCTGTTCCAAACCGAGATCTGTAGCAAGAGAGACACAGGCAGTCAGTGGGCCGAGACTTCCTATACGAAACTTCAGAGCTCCCTGCTGAGTGTCCGCATGCTAGCCACGCTTAGTTTTATCATGTGTGACATGAATTGCAGGCAACACATTTAATACTTTTTAAGGGAAGAATTGGCAAGGCAGTAAGTGTAGACTGACAGTGTTGCTGTTGAGAGAGACTATACCAGGAAGAATTGTCTAAAGATGTTGTAAAGTTAAACAGAACTTTTGTGAGCATTATGTAAGGGGAACGAATTTAGATACTGGTTTTTTGTGTTGTACTTTTAATGTGAGAAATTATAAAAAGTACAACTACATTGGCTTCACTATTTTGTATATTTTATTTGTGCTATGTAAATGAGAGGTGGGGTTTTATAAGTGGGACTTGAGGTTTAAAGTAAACTTAAAGAAACTTGTTGATAGTTCTTTAGAATTTAGCTCTTGCTAAATAACTAATGTGTCTAACCACATTGTTAACATTTTGCAAATTAGAGTTGGGATTCTAGAAAAGCAGCTTCCAAAGTAATGAATTATCACTTATCAAGCAGTTGACAAAAATCATTTGAAAGTAAATGTCATCTCTACTTACATCGGTGTGACTAATAGCATAGCATTGACTCTAAGACACATGACTCTCAGCAACCCGCCAATTCAGAAAGCAAAGGGAGATGAACTGAGTATCACTCCATGAATTTTGGTATAATTTTTTTGGGTTAGAGTTCATTGTACAGCAATTTGTCTTGGTTTCTACTCTGCTGCCTGGGCAGCCACAGCCAAACAAGGAGGTCCAGCAACACCATCTACTAACTGGCTTTTGGGTACAAAAGCTTTTGCCCAGTGCTATAGAGATGTGCAAATAGAATGAAGGGCATTACAGGCAAAAGTGTACAGATCATGCAGGTTAGGAGGAGAGCTTCTGGAGCCACTCTGTCTGAGCTGATTTCCACCTCTAGAGTAGCTGTGTGTTTTTGGGCAAGTTACAAAACCCCTCTGTGCACCCATTTCCTTTTAGTACTAATTCACAGGGTGTTCTGAGGAATAAATACTGAGATAGTACACATAAAGAATTTAGTTTACCAGAAAGGTGTGATTCCTAATTTGAAAATCTCTATAATCTCACCGGCCCAGGAGCTTCTGTTGAATATATATTTTCTAGACCTGCCTTTGGTTATAAAGAATAAAGTGTGCATAGATTGTTGTTTTTATTTTTCCCTAAGTGAATATTCAAAATTAAATTTACTGCGTCTAGACAATATTAAGGCTGAAAAAAGGCTGTTGGTATTCAAAGGAGCCTTCTCCTCAGCTGCCAGAAATGAAATATTTTCTCTGTGGGGTAAAAGGGGCCCTTAATTAGACAAAGCCTCACAGTATCTGGGGTGAGACTGGAATGAGTTTGAGACAATTATTGCTATGTACAGAGCTGAAATTTCTAGAGGAGGAGCTTCTTTCACCTTTTTGGTTAAATAAAAGACTAATTTTGTTGTATAAGAAGAATCTCCAACAGATGGCTCCACTGAGAAAGCATCCTGGAAAGCCTAGGAAGGGACTTGGTTGTCTCAAGGTTTGGCCTAGAAATAGTATGTGGAGAGCACACAGAATAAATACAGCAGACAAAAAATAGGCAGCCACTCACATCCTTCTCTAAAGCCGGCCCTGGCAAAGCCGTAGAGTTTTAGCTGAGCAAAGCTGAACATTTTCTGCGCTGCCTTTTCGTTTCTATGCTTTCCTAGTGTCCTCTCACCTCCCGGCATTCTCCGCTCGGCTTGCTGCTTCCTTATCAACCCAGTCCGGGCTGGGACGGTACCCCATCCTCTCTCCTTTTCTTTTCTACTCAAACTGCACTTACTGCCTTGGTGGTCTTCCAGTCTCATGGCTTACCCATCATCTGTATGCGGAAGGTTCCTGACTGTGTATCTCCAACGTGGACATCCACCCTGGACAGAAGACTCATTGAGGCAGCTGCGCACTTAGCATTTCCACTGAACATCTAATAGGTGCCTCAGAGTGAATCTGCCCCAAAGCGAATCCCTGTCTTCCTCATCTGGACTTGCTCCTTCTGCAGTCTTCTCTGTCTCAGTAAACAACCATTTCTTCTTGCCACTTGCTCAGGTCAAAACCTTATCTCCTTTCTGTGACTCCGCCTCCAATCTCTGGACACATCCTGCTGCTTAAAAAATATTTTCAGAATCCAACCACTTCTCACCACCTCAGCTGCTAACACTGGTTGAAGCCGCTGTCACCTCTTGCCTGAATTGTTGCAAGAGCTGCCACTATTGTTTCCCTCCTGTCCTTGACCACCAACAGGTTAATGTCAGTACAGTAGCCTAGATGATTCTTTTGAAACCTTGTCACATCACTTCACTCCTCTCTGAAAAACCCTCCTTCACTTCTTGCTCTCAAAATAAAAGCCAGTTTCCAAACAGTGGCCTGCAAGGCCCTACACGAGCTGGTCTCCTGTTCCTTCTCTGAGGTCTCCTACTAGTCTCATTTTTGCTTGGCTCTACCCCTGGAACCGATTTGCTAATTTAGGGCAACACCTAAGGCAAGAGCCCCTCAGCGGGCATTTGTACTCACTGCAGTGTCTGCCTCCGTGTTCTTCCCCAGATACTCACAGGGCTTATTCTCTTATTTTCTTTATGTCTTTGCTTAAATGTCATTTCTTCAGTGAAGGCTTCTGAAGGCTTCACTGGAGCACTCTGACCCTGTTCTAAATTTGTAGTCCCTCTCCTCTGGTACTCCCTGTTTTCTTTCCCTGCTTAATTTTTCTCCACAGCGCTTATCCCGACCTGACAGACATTTTACATATTTGTGTATTACCCTACACTAGAATGTAAGCTCCACGAAAGCAGAAAATTTTGTTGGTTTTAGTCACTGTTGTATCTCAGCACCCAGAATAATAAATGCTCAACTCATGAGAGTCACTCCATCAACATTTGTTGCATAATAAGTGATCTCCCAGGCTATCTAAAGTTTGACTTTTCTTTCAATTTCATGTTATTTTGTAATTACATTCACTCAAAAGTAAATACTGTTTAATTTATTACAGAATGAAACTTTGCTACTTACTGCCCAAAGTGAAATCTACTCTGAAGATCCCTGCAGATAAGCATCTACTTCAACAGTTAGAAATGTGTGTGAGAAAACTCCTATGTCAAGAAAAAGATAAAGATGTTCTGGCTATTGTAAAAAGAGTAAGTATCCCTCTTGCCACAATATTTGCATGTCTTGCTTTAAGGTAGTTTTAATCACAATTTCACTGTTTTAGCTTACTAGGATAGCAGTATATTAAAATACACATATCATTGCCAGAGTAGTAAGAATTAGGAACTGATTCTGCTGTGTGCCACAGCTGGATATGAAATGTCCTTCTAAAGGGCACTACAACATTCAACTGTGCTAGTGGTAATATAAGCTCCATGAGAGAGAATTTGACACATTTTAGTTAGATATTCAATAAATACTGTTCAACTAATAATGAATACTTCATTCCCCAGACTTTATTTATAAGTGCTTATAATCTGGGAAAACTTTGTTGGTAAATGCAGGAAAGTCACATTTGATAGCTTAGCCCTGGAAGGGCTGGAAGGGCCTTTGGTGATCTGTTTGCCTTTGCAGAAGCTCAGGAGACCTGGAAATGGTGAATGTCTGCCTGAGATCATATTAGTAATGGCAGAGCCAGGTGGGAGGCAAAGCTCTTACCCCTGAGTGCATTCTTTTTTCAGTAATGTGTATCATTGTTTCAGTTGTGTCTTAAGAGTTATTTTTGTTGTTGGGATTGTTTGGGAATGTTGTGAAACTAAAACAGTAAGAATTTGGGTTAGTAAAATCAAACTGTAAAATACTTTATAGTCTTCAAAGACTTTTGCTCAGTATCTAACTAATATTTGTATAAGATTAGGTCAGATTAAAGTCATTACATTTATGAATCTGAATGTGAACTTTAGGACACATAGTTTTGAGTATTTGTACTGAGAGAAATTAATAATGTTTTAACTTAGCATCAATGGTGAGAAAAAGAAAGAAAATCCTTTAATATATTTTTTTTTAGAGGTCATTGCCAGATGTCACATGAGAAACTTTTTACTAACATGATTTGATAACTAGTGCAATTAGTATAATTAATATTGATATTAATTAGTATAATTTTATTTTGCTGAAATGTGAATTCCTTTTCATTTGAAATAACCAGAAATACCCAGAGTCTGGACTGTACCTATATGCATGCGTGTGTGCGCACATACACACACACACATATTTGTTTCTACCAGATATTTCTGTCTTTACCATTTAATTACAGAAATTTAGGCTATGGAGTTAACTTACAAAATAATAAACATGAAAGGGTATGTTACTTTTCTGAAAGAATTTATTAACTCAGGTAATATAAGCTGACTCTATAAATAGGGATAACAGTGATACAGTTAAATTAATGGATTATAAATCTACAATGGCTTATTCTTGAGTACAGCTCTTATTTTACATACATGTTACATGAAGAAGTTGATCTGTCCCATGAAAATTCTATAGTGTAATGTTTATCAGGCTGAAGTATTGGTAGGGGAACCTCTGAGGAAACTATACAAAGCTTTGGGATAAAAATGGAATAGCTTATTCTAGGATTGTCCAGTTTTTAAAGGTGGCAAGTAATTTTATTTAAGAGTGATACCTTGTTATACATTGTAAAATTTTCATAAACTTCAGCATAAAAATAAAGCTTCAAATATTATGTTTGCAATGGATAGCTTTGGGCATATAATTATATAAATGTATTTTATTTCAATTATCAGAGTTACCCCTGTAGAGAAGTACTGTCCTCTCTCAGAGACAGAATCCTGGATTCGATGGACCTTTGTTTGAAAAATGTGTTTCAGACTAATGTATTCTGAATGAGAAATACTAAATGTAGAGAATACTTTCAGAGAAAACTTTTTCTATTGGTTAGAATGTCATAATGATCAAAAGTTTTTGTGTAAAGGAACTGAGGGTTTTAAGCCAAATGATAGCTTGCTTCATATATATTACGCTAAAAGGTTTTCTAAAAATTCAAATACTACCTTGTATTCCTGAAAATTCAGAAAAGAGTGACACTGGGAGTTATTAGAAATGAGTTATATTGAACATGTTCCATATTTAGAATATTCCTCAAGACTGTCCTTCTTGGGCTTAAAATCTTCTAAAAGTTTAAATGGAACGTGGCACTAATGGATAGAGGCTGATTAAAAAATACAATGCAGTATTAGAAAGAACCTCTGAGGGTTTCTAATTGAGCCTTCTACGTAGTGCAAACAGTCTCTCCTTTGAAACTCCCTCTGGAAAAGGAGTCCTTTTGACAAATAATCGGTTGATTTAATTTAATTACTGTTGAGTAATTTTAAAAACTTTTTTTGTAGACTGTGTTAGAGCTGGACAGAATGGAAATGTCTATGGATGCTGTGAGTATATTCTTTACCTTATGTTGAAAGGAATATTTAAAAATTGGCAGAAAACTCATCATCAGTGTTTCATAATTTCATTTTAAACTTTAAACTTAGTTTCAGAAAAAGTTTTATGAGAAAGATTTGTTGGATCAAGAGAAAGAAAGAGAAGAACTACTTCTTTTGGAAATGGTATGTTGCTTTCACAAGCACACACACATACTCTCTTCTGACCAGTGTTAACTGTGCTTTGTTACTAAATTTAATAAATACTATCTTTCAATTTCACACACTACATTTTTTTTCCTAAATAACTAAAGAAAAGTTCTGACCTTTTGAAATCAGTTCTTTTATATACTGGAAGGGAAACTACATTTGAGAGCCTTTAAAAACTACTTTATCAAAGTATAATTGACATAAAATTAACTGCATGTATTTGTATAATTTGATGAATTTTAACACATGGACATATCCCTGAAACCATCACCACAGTCAAAATGTTAAACTTGCCCATTTTTTCAAAGGCTCCTTGTGCCCCTTTGTCATCCATATCTTCTATACCAGTACCCAGAAACCACTAATCTGGTTTCTGTCACTCGAAATTACTTTGCAACTAGAATTTATATAAATTTAATTACATATTATGTGATCTCTTTCTAAATGCTTCTTTCCGTCAGCATAATTATTTTGGGGTTCATCCCTCTTATTGTGTTTATCAGTAGCTTATTCCTTTTTATTTCTGAGAGTATTTCTTATCATGGATATATCTCAATTTGTTTATTTACCTCTTAATGGACATTTGGGTTACTTCTAGTTTGAGGGTATTACAAATAAAATTGCTATGAACATTTGTGAAGGAGTCATTGGGTGAATATGTGTTTTCATCTCTCTTGGGGAAATCCCTGAGAATGGAATGACTAGATTGTATGGTAAGGTATGCCTGCCTTAAAAACAAACAAAAACTGTTTTACAAGGTGACTGTGCCATTTTACGTTCCCATTGGCTGTGGTGGAGGGTGAGCATGTAATGCTACCTCATTGTGGTTTCAAATTGTATATCCTTGATGCCTAATGATACTATCTTTTTTGTTTATTGACTACCCTTATCTCTTATTTGATAAAGTATATTTTCAGATTTTTAAGTGGGTTATTTTATTATTGAGGTGTAAGAGTTCTTTATATACTTTGAATACAACCTCTTTGTCAGATATACATTTTATACATATTTTTTGGAGTCGGTGGCTTATTGTTTCATTTGCTTAATGGTGTCTTTTGAAGAACAGAAGTTTTTAATTTTGATTAAGTCCAACTTGTCAAGTTTTTCCTTATAGCTCATGTTTTTTTATTCCAAGAATCTTTTGTGTATCCCAGAATTACAAAGACCTTTTCCTATGTATTCTTCTAGAATTTTAGTTTTAGGTTTTACATTTAGGTCTATAATAGATACCAAGTTAATTTTTCATATGTTTATTATTCCATCTGCATTTTCAGTTATTCTAGCCCATTTGTTGAAAACTTTCCTTTCACCATTGAATTGTCTTAGCACCTTTTTTTAAAAAAAAATCAATTGTTCATATATGTAGGTGTCTATTTCTTGACTCCCTATTCTGTTCCACTGATTTTATGTTTATATTTTTGGCAATTCCAAACTGTCTTGATCACTGTAACATTACAGTAATTCTTGAAATCAGGCAGAGTAAGTTTTCTAATTCTGTTCCTTTATAATTGCTTTGACCAGTGTAGGTCCTTTGCATTTTGATACAAAATTTAGAATCAGTTTGTCCATTTCTACAAAAAGCCTGCTGGAATTTTCTTCAGGATTGTGTTAATTAGGATTGATCTATAGATTAATTTTAAGAATTACCATCTTAACAAATGAGTCTTCTAAACTGTGAACACTGTCTAGCACTCCATTTATTTATTCTTCTTTACTTTTCTCTCAGTAATTTTGGTAGTGTTAAGTGTAGAGTTCAAGGAAATCTTTTGTTAGATTTATTTCTAGGTATATTATGATTTTTGACATTATTGTCAATGGAGTTATAATTTTTAATTTCACTTTCCAGGTTTTTGTTTCTGGAGTATATGAATACTGTTGATTTTTGTATATTAATTTTGTATTTTACAAACTTGACAAGTTTGCTTATTATAGAACTTGTTTTTTAAACCTAGTAGGATTTTCTACATGAGCCATTTAAGTCATATCTAAGTCACAGCAAGATTACTTCTTCCTATTCAGTGTTTATACCTTTTCTTTTTGCCTTATTGCAAGGTCCAGGGCCTCTAGTAAAAAACCTACAGTTGAATAAAAGGGATGCAAGCAGGCATTCTTGTCTTTTTACTGATTTTAGATAGGAGCAGTTCAATTGTTAAGGATGGTGTTAGCAATAGGTTTTATGTAGATGCCTTTTATCAGATTGTGGAAGTTCCCTCCTATTCTCTGCTGAGAATCTTTATGAGTGATTGTTGAGTTTTTTCAAATATTTTCCTGCATATATAGAAATGATATTTGCTTTTTCTATTTCATTCTGTTAAAATACTGAATTACATTGATTTTTCAAATGGTAAACCAATCTTGTATTTCAGGGATAAACTAAACTCTTCTTGGTGGTGATATACCGCCGTTTTCTCTAGTGTTGGATTCTTGGTTAGTTTTTTTAAATGAATTTGCTTCTATATTTATAGATTAATAGTGAAATTGGTCTACAATTTCCCTTTTTTAAATCATTTTTGCATCTTTTAAATTTGACATTAGAGTTATTCTGGCCTTATAATGTGCAATAGGTAGTATTGTTTTCTGACAAAGTTTGTATAAAATTGGTTTAATTTTTCCTTGAGTGTTAGATAGAATTCACTAGTGAAATTATCAAGGCCCAAAGTTCCTGTTTTAGAAAGGATTTTGATAATTGATTAAATTACTTTAATAGATATAAAATTATTTGGATATTCTGTATCTTCTTTTGTCAATTTGATAAGTTACTTTTTTTCCCCCCCAAAATCATCCATGTTATTTCAGCTATCAGGTTTGTTGGCATAAAGTTGGTTATAAATATCCTTACACTCCTGCTAATCTGTATAGGGTCTGTGGTGATAACCCCTGCTTCATCCTTATCTTAGTGATTGGTGTTCTCTGTCTCCTTTCTTTTTCATTTTTTTTTCGGTGGGGCGGAATTGTTTTTTGGTTTCTTTAGAGGTGACAGTAATGCTTACCTAACCTTTTAGAGTCTACTTATTGTTAATATTGTACCACTTCATTTTACAACTATAGAGATCCCTTTACCCACTTTATACCTTTCTTAATATTACAATTGTTACGTGAATTACATCTGCATTGAAAACCACACCAGTCAGTGTTAGAATTTTTGCTTTAATCTGTCATATGTATATTGAAGAACTTAAGAGAGTATATGTCTGTGTTTACTCTCTTATGTTTACCTTTTCCAATACTCTCTGTTCATTGCTTAGGATCCAAATTTCCCTCTGTTATTTTTTTCCCTTCAGCTTGAAGAACTTTCTGTAACAGTTTTTGGAGTGCAGGTATTTTGTGACAAATTCTCTTAGTTTTCCTTTATCTAAAATGTCTTATTATTGTCTTTATCCTCGAAAGATATTTTTATTGGATGTGGAATTCTGGGTTGATAGCCTTTTTCTTACTGTTCTTCAAAGATATATTTCTGTCTGTGTTCTTCTCTCCATAGCATCTGATAAAATATCTGCTTTCATTTGAATTGTTGTTCTGTATTTTTCTCTGGCTACTTTCAAGAATCTTTCTTTTACCTTTTGTTTTTAACAGTTTGCTTTTGATGTGTTTAGGCATAATTTACTTCAAATTTATCCTGTTTGGGATTTGCTGAGCTTTCTGAATTTGTCAAATGTATTGTATCATCCCCCAAATTTGGGAAGGTTTGAGTCATTGTTTATTTAAATATGTGTTCTATTCCAATTCCTCACTCTTCTACTTTTGAGTCTCCAATTATACATATGTTAGACCTTTTGACTTTGTCCCACAGGTCCATGAGGTTTTGTTCTTCTTTTTTCTTTTAATTCTATGGTACTCAGAGTGTAGTTTTTGTTGATTCATTTTCATTGTCACCAACTCTTCCTGTCTTGTCTATTTGGCTGCTTAGCCTATCCATTGAATTTTTTTATTTCCAATGTTGTATTTTTCAGTTCTAAAATTCCCATTTATTTCTTTTTCTATATTTTCTATTTCTTTGTAGATAATTGTGTTAGGAAATTAAAAATTTAAGTGGAAATCCTCTGAAAAAAAGATTAAAGTTTAGGATTGCTGGTGGTAGAAGCTGTAGAGAATAAGCAAGCTCTAAAAAAATTTTAGGACTGAATGACCTGAGCCCAAGACAAAAAATCAGATAACAGAAAAAGACCCACAGATGATCCTAATGTTGGATTTAGCAGACAAAGTCTTCAAGACTACAGTGATTAATATAATCAAGATATTAGAGGAAAAGATGGATAAAATAGATAACACTGCCTTTAAGCCCACTTAATATTTTATTTTTCAGTTTTATGTGCTTTATTTTCAGTTTTAGAATTTCCATTTGGCTTTTCTTTATGCTGTCCAATTCTATGTGGACATTTTTTATCTTGTCATCTGTTGTCTTTTTACTTTATGTGTGGACTTGAAAAGAATGTGTATTCTCTTGTTGGCTGTAGTGTTCTATACAGTCAGTTTTGCCAGGTTTGTTCGGAACTTGATATGTTTATTCATTTTCTTAGATATTTGTTCTGTTGGGATAAAGGATTCCAGAGTTTTAGTAACATTTTGTTTCTTGATCTAGGAGTGGGTTATATAGGTGTGTTCATTTTGGGACAATTCATTTATCTGTGCATTTATATTATGTGCACATTCTCTCTATATATTATACTTTAATAAGACATTTAAAAATATCCAAAGACCATTTCCTTTTCTCTCAATTTTTTTAAAGAAAAATATTATTTTATCACTTATTAATCAGAAATGGAAATGGCCAAATGTGAAATGTATTTTGCTGTTGAGAATTGGTAAATATCTTCTAGGATATAAAGGCTATACAACAATGATGCTTAACTTATTATTTTAGCTTGGCAAACCTTCAAGGATACCATTCTGTAGATGTTAAAAGAATACAAATCTGAAAAAACCTTAACCTCTTTGGACACTAGTTCGGAAGGAAAAAATACTTTTAGGAATTTTGTGACCTGTATTTGTATCTGCCAAGTTTAGGGTGATTTCTCATTAGAACAATTTTTAAATCTATTTACGCTTATCTTTGATGCTAAGATACTGTTTTAATAATAGGAACAATTAGAGAAAGAGAAACAACAGAGTGATGGGAGGCCCATGAGTGATAAGACCTTTGAAAAGAAACGTAAGTACTTTTCCGGTTTTTGCCATTGAGTCTCACCTAACTTGCATCCTGGCATTCTGAAAGCCATGCGGATTTTTAAATTTGCTATGGAAGATTACTTCTTATTTTAAATGTTTTCAAAAATTGGCTACTTGATGTGGTACAGATTTAGGAATATGAGAATAAATAAATGGTTGGGGTCAGTGTGGGGGATCACCTTCAAAGGAAGGTTTCAAGTTTGGTAATAGCAATATGATTGTGAAGTTGATCACGGAATAATTAAGATTGAAATATGTAAATATATGAAGTAAGAATATTTGGGGGAGAATGTTGCTTACCCTTGGATAATGATTCATATTCTGTGTGTTGTATGTTTATGGAGATTAATGAGCAATCATAGGAAAATATAGCACTGAAAAAGCATTTGTTTTAGGTAGAGACACTAAGATACCAACAACTCTGCCCAGGAGCATCCCCATTTCTGTTCCTGGGCCCTCTTCTGCCACCCTATCAACAAGTAAGACACCTCTTTGTTTTCTTCCTTTTTTCCGTTTATAAAAGTTAATTACAGGAAAGTCACTCTGTCAGATGAGGTATATTATTCTAAAGCACCTTTTGCCTTTTGTTGTTTATTGTTTTGGTAATTCTTAATGTGCAGTAGTGGTTAGAGATACTCCATTCTGCTCAAACTAAGGAAAGGAAACTAGACCCATCTGTGTTTTACCAGAAATGGTGGGAGTTGGAGAGGGAATGGGGTGGGGCAAGCTAAGGATGAACTGAACGACTGCATTTTCCTTCTGCTTATTACTCTAGGCAAAGAAATCAAGAAATCCAAATTGATTCGAAGCCAGTCTTTTAATAATCAAGCTTTTCATGCAAAATATGGCAACTTAGACAAGTGTGCTAGGTATGATCTATCGCTATTCATGTTTTAACTGAATTTTTATTTTATAGTCATACATCTTTATGTGAAACATTTATATTATTATATAAAATCAGGGTTAATTTTGAGTTTTATAGTTTTATATTTTATACAAGTTCAATAATTTGTAATTTTCTTCTGTAAAGAATTGATATTTTAAAAAAAGCAGTAGTCTACCAATTTTCTTAAGATAAGTATCCTGGTAGATGAATGGATAAAGAAGATGTGGTACATATACACAATGGAATACTATTCAGCCATAAGAAAGAAACAAATCCTACCATTTGCAACAACATGGATGGAGCTGGAGGACATTATGCTCTGTGAAATAAGCCAGGTGGAGAAAGACAAATGCCAAATGATTTCCCTCATTTGTGGAGTATAACAACGAAGCAAAAGTGAAGGAACAAAATAGCAGCAGACTCAGAGACTCCAAGAAGGAACTAGTGGTTACCAAAGGGGAGGGGTGTGGGAGGATGGGTGGGAGGGAGGGA